AAATGGAACATATGAATATCAAAAGAAATATTATCCTAAAATGATAACTCTCGTTGAAGCATTAGGTTAAATTACAAGGCATGTCTCTTTAGTGAAAGATGAGAACGGTTAATGCAGACCAAAGCAAGAAAAGATGCTCTTATCATTGAATCCACAAACTTTAATCTATGATGAATTAGTAGAACCCTAAAATCAAGGGTTACCTAACGCTTATATCTTTAACAAGTTTGATTAGACAAAAATGGTAAATTAACAGGAGATTGCATAACAAAACACACATCTTATCTTGACACTCGATTTTATCTTAATCATTGACGATATACACACTCTATAGACAATTTGAACTCTGATTACTAAGAAGATTAACATTTTCTTTTATCACAAAAATCACTCAATAAATTCTTCATTTCTAATTACACTTTGTCCCTTTAAACTAGTATATTAACTTCGTCTCTAGTACGATAGTTATAAATATGTAACACAAAACTAGCAAAAGAAGAAGATTATTATAAATTAGAAGAAAAGCTTACATTATTGCTAGAAATCTAACGAGAGAGAAAAAAAGGGTAACAACAATAAGGAAAACGGGGGGGGGGGGAGGCACATGTGGTTGTAGTTATTAAAATAAAAGTAAGATGGCAAAAAACATGATTTATGTTTGCAATTAATACCCTAATTGGCTTTGTCTTTAATCACATCAATCCCCATCTCGGTTGGGTCAGTTGCTTGAACTTCATAGCTGATGCCATCTAGCACTCTCCTCAGCCCATCTTTGGACGTTGCATACAGCATTTTTGCTCTAATTCTTGATGCCGCAGGGGACCTATATTCCAGCATTAATCAAGTGGATTGGGATTAATTAGCTCTATTTCTTGACAATATCACTTTTGAACTCGAAATTATTTAACTCTCGTAAAAATGAAATTTCATAAACTTAAAATTCGTCTCATCTATTTTATAAATAATAATATATTCCTAAAGAAAAGAGATGCTTAGATTCCATGCTACTGTAAATTATGTAGCATTATTAATACATATTTTAAAAATTCACTAATAAAAATCTCAATTATTTTCTAATTATTACCCCACTAGAGAAAATAATACTATACCATATACCATGTATTATGATATAAAATATGGTCTATTTGTTTACTAGTTATGTTACAAAATCGTCGACATTGAGTCGTCTCAATAATAAAAGGTAATGCTTTTCTCCTTAAAATTTATTTCAAGTAACTACTCTTATAGATGTACATTTTGTTAATATCTAAAAAAAGATTATGATAGAATATTATCTTGTATTCACTAGATTATTTACTATTAAAAATAATAAGTGACGTTAATAATATAAGCAATTAAATATTAGTGACGAAATAATTAGAAAAGGAATTAGAAAAGGCGACGGACCATGCAATGAAGAAGATCTTGCTTTTCCGGCAGTTATCAACGGTGACGAAATCGAAATCAAACACGGCATATCGGCAGTCATCGGTAGGCAATGAAGCAGCAAGATCGTCGTAGCTTTCGCCGGGACCGCCGACTTTATCGACGGTGACGAGCCTCGATTTCTCGTCGATCTTGAACACTATATATCTGTGGACTTTCTTCCATTTCATCTCCATGAACGAGTTCTTGCACTCATCGGTGACCCACATCCCAGTCGTAGCCTATTGTATCATACAGTACACTGGATTACATATAATAGGAGATGAAGTGATAAGAAAACAGAGAAAACAAAAGGGATTTACCATCTTGAAAGCCATCGCCATTGTTGTTGATATCTGTTTGATAAGTGAGCTCAATTTTCTTTTTTGTTGTTGCAGAAACTTGAAACTGGAGGTGATGAGAACCGAATGGCAATGGCTTTATATAAAGACAGATGTACGAAATTACCCCTGATGTTCATTAATAGTTACAACTAAACTTCTAGATTGGGTTTCGCCCTTTCTTGTTTTGCTATTTCCTTGATTAGAACGAGTTTCCCAATGAGTGTTTTGATAAGGGAGTTTTTAAATTTACTATATATAATACCAGTAATATTTTTATAACATCTCACGTTATTATTGAAAAAATAACGTATTAATAGTTTTATTGATTTTATAATTATAAATGATTAAAATAAAACTAAAACGTAACGTTAGGTATAATTTTAAAAAAATAATTAGGTGACCAAAATGAAAGAAAATTGATAGTTGAGATATAAACTTATAGTTTACCCTTTGATCATTTATGTAATCAAATAAAAATAAGCTTCTTGAATTGGTTAAGCCAAAGAGAAAAGGCCTACAAAACGGAAAAGAAATTCAGTGGTCTTATCAACATGGATTATGAATTATTTCTTGCTTTATTTTATATAATATAATATAGTATAATATTAACTAACACATCAATTAATTTAAGTATTTGATAGTTGTAAATTTATTCAGTTATATCATGTTGAAATTATTATAAAAAATTAACCAAGAACTCTAGTGACTTCTGTGGTAAAGAAATTGTTGTTATTCATTGAGGTCCTGGGTTCGAGCGCTAGTAATGATAGGGGTATGAGTGTTTAATGTCAAATGATTTAGAGTTATTTTTGAACAGATATTATCTTGTACGTACCCCAGATTTATAAAAAAATCGAATTAAGAAATATTCACATTTGTTTCATGACATTTATTAGGATAATATTTATAGAAATATAATCAATACATTATTTTTAAATTTATACAAATAAATTTTCAGTGGTAATTAAATAAGTATCTATGATTCCATGGACAGATTACAAATTAGAAAACTATTTGCAGTGTAAATACTTTTCAGCTTAACCTCTGTTTTGTTTTTCATTTGAGCTTCTTCCAAAGCTCAACACAAAGCTGTTTGTAGATTTATTTGCCAATGCCTTGTGGCCAAGAAAAAGAAGCTAAATAGCCATTTCTGAATGACTTAAAACTAGATTTTAATAACAAAATTAGATTAAAAATATTTAATAACAATATTTATCTAAAAATGTTAGTGCAATTATAAACCATGTTAGTATTTTCTTTTACAAAGTCTAAATAAAAAATGATTTAATGTTTTCTTTTAGATTTTAAATATCAAAGCTAACTATAAGAGTATACGAAAATACAAGGATAGACAGCATATTTTAACCACACATATAACAATGCACTGTGCAAGAGGTACGTAGAACAATACAGCGGGCAGCAAATGCAGCCAACTTGTATACACAACAGCCAACATGCATAAATGTATAAAGTAAACAGCAACAGTAAAGCATTAGTAGTAGGATCTATTTATGGGGAGTTTGAGTGTTGTGATACGGTCGTAGTTTCTGAAAGTTTTACATTTTTATATAGTTAATTAAAATCTCATTATTGACATAATTAATAAAATAAATAACTAATAGAAAAAAAATTAGATTTCAGAATATACAAATAACCTAACTTGAATTGTTTAAATTCGGAGGATTCTAAAGTATGAAATGGAAACAAAATGCAGGTAGGAAAAGTAGGATGGTCCCAACTGGGATCCCACGCCCACAGCCACAATACAGATCCACCCATCTCTCTGTATCTGTGTTCCTCAAAAGGATTGTTTGCGTAAAAGGCAAGAAGAGGAGTGAGAAATGAATGAATGAATGTATTTAGCCATGCACCTTGTTACCACATTTCTTTCAACACCCAACCATTCCAAGATTTCACATCCCTAGGCTTCGAGTTGTTCCACAAACTTGTCTAATGAATGTGGCCACAACTCCACATTCATATTTTTTTCTTCATAAAATGGTGAATGAATGTCCATTTGCCATTGGACTTTTTCTATTAATAAAAGGTTGGTTTGATCTTGATCTCATCTCATCCGATCCTTCGATGTAGTACAAATGCTAACTAACAACACCCACAAGGATTCTTTTGCCGAGGATGGACAGACACGACTCTCATGTGGGTGGGTCTCCAATGTCGACAACTTATATAAACCTTTTCATCTACTAGAGTTAGCCTATATCCTTTAAACACCTAATTATGGTCAACTATAGCGTATATACAAGACAAATCCTCTTTATAGATCTATTTGATGCGCTAAAACAAAATCTAAAGTTTGACTACGACATCTACTTAACTTGTCGTCCTACAAATAGTCATGATAACCCTCAATCGAGACTAGAAAAGGTCGCAGGGACAGACGCAAGATTTTATGTTAGGAGGGGCAAACTTATAAAATTTTAAATAAAATTTTAGGGGGGCAAAACATATTTTAAAAAGAAAATGCAAAGAAAATATTGAAAATATATAGGAATTTGAACCGTCTGTAACCGACCGACCCTCTTTTTCCTTCTTCATGATAATCCACTCTCTTCCTCCTTCAAACACCGACCAATAAACATTCTCTTAACGAATACAACTCTCCATCTAAACAAAAAAAAAATGAAATATCAACCGCCAAAGCCCGAAACTTGTTCCCATCAAATATATATATATTTACCAACTTTTCTTTACATTAATGTGAATGGAATAGAGATTAAACGTGTATGTATGGTGGGTGGTTCTTGGTGGAGGATATTTTTGACCCTTTGTGATCAGCTTCTTCTTAATGGAATTACTCTGATTTGATGTTGTAGAGCTTAAGCATCTGGCTAAAATTAGTGAAGGAAATGTTTCAGTTTGAGTGCTTTGATTAGAGCCACTCTTCACAGGAAATGCTGGCCCAGATGTGTAAGCAGTTACCGAGAGGCCTCATCCATAATCAGATGTTAAGTAAATTATGACCAGAATTGTTAATTATCATTAGGACTGTCCTGTTTTTTCCCTTTGAATCAAATAAAGAGAGACAATACAAGGAAGTTAAAACTATAACCCCCCTTGGATGAGCAAAACTGGCTTGATGAGTGTATACCCTGATATGTTGAGACAACGAACGTAATAACAGAACCTACACATGGCTACTTCCTGATTGCCTCAGACATCTCAGGATCACCCACAGATGACTCAGCTCAGATCCTGGGACATTCATTGACAATGCAAGATCCTCATCCTGCCATAGTATCAGTTACCTCAAAGCCCATTTGAAACTTAATTCTACTATCCAATGCTGGGATACATGGTAATATGTATTAACTCCAACATTGGACCAACCATTGGATCATCAACTTTTTCAATCGTGGTTACAGTCGTAGTTGCATTCTGTGAACTAGACGGTGCTCGCGCTTCCACTCCCTTTTCTTGTCGACTGGCTTCTTCAGCGGGCCTCTTGGCAGCACCTTCTTGCGTTGCTCTCTCCTCCTCCATGGAAACCCTTAGGGAAAGAGCCAGCTCTGGATCTAGATTTGGATCAACACCGGAATCAAAGTCAGAAACACCACCGCCTGCACCTGCTGCTGCAGCAAAGCCACTTCCTCCTCCTCCATCCCCAGTGAACATAGGCGTGCTAGCATGGGAATCAAAAGCTGTATCATTGATAGAAGCACTATTAAGCAATATAGCCTAAGGGGCATGAACTGTGGCTTCTTACTTATTCTTCTTAAGGAAATTAAATACTCAAGGTAAACAAAAAATCCGGAAGAGGTCGGTAAAACCTGATAAGCACATCAGAGAGTGGCATTTTGACCCGGAGGAACATGAATTACGTGGCTACTGTCATTATTATTAACAGATGCAAGATGAGCCTCCAACTTTTAAGGTTTTCCATCTTCGTCCTCACCAAAATTGACAATATCAAGAGCTACACTCTTCTTCTTAAGCCTCTTCTCTATCATCTTCAATGCCTTCTTTTCATACTTGAAGGGACTTGAAGAAAATGACACTATTACCAGGGAAAAAAAATTATCTTCACCGGTAAGGTATTAACAATTGAATTTTGAACTTTTAAATCTGAAAACAAGAGGGACGAAATTCCAAGTGAAGAAAAACACAGGAACTTGAAGCCTATTTTAACCAAAACAATACATGTAAAGGATAAAAATGTGTTTCCCACATCGCTTAAAAACAGTAAGCTCCTTTATTCAACAAGCCTAAAACAAGTGTACACCGCACAATCTGAATGTGATGATGGTATGCACAATTTCCCAATAAGGCAGTTAACCTCATACATACATCCAAAACCAAATGACAAACCAACGACACATTATTTTGAAGTTACAAGCTTACAGGGACATGTCTATACACCAAGTGTTCTAGAAGGGAAGGATGATCTACTGTTCCTACTGATTGGTAAATGAACACAAACATCATGAACCTCTTGCTTGTACACTTCCCCTCTATCTCTATCGATTGCATAGCAGATATACACGGTGTCGATCACGTTGTCCAACACATGGACAAAGAAACTCAGAACTACGATTAGAAGCACCCAGGCGAGACCGGCAACGATGTATGCATTATCCCCTAGATCACTAACACCCTTTAAGATAGCACATACCTGCATTATATGTATTCGGTTATCACGTAATTCGTGGAAATGAGAGGATGAAGGATAACAAGGAAGTTTATCGAAGACTCACCACAATTGCGTAAACTGCCGAGAAGACAAAAATAAGTCCTGCAACAAACGAGTTGATATAGTCTCCACAAAAACAGCAGAGAGCAGGTTACGTCTTAGAAGCTCATACGTCATCCTCGCAGATGTGCAGTATGCCTCACCGGTTATTGAGGCGAAGTTGATGGTGAACTTGTTAAGAAACTCTATCGCAGACATTAGGGCATTAACACAACACCGGAGGACAAGATTCACTATCCCGGGAACATCTTCTTCTCTCGCGCTATCAACAGCAGCACGCACCACTCGAACGACACAGATAAGTAGTCCAGATAGACAGACAGTGCCAGAAGAAGGACCAAATGCATTTCTGCAAGTGTTTAGAACCAAAGGGTTAGAAAGGTTAAATCTAACTGTTTAAAAATAAGCAGACATGAGTGATGCCTTGAAAGTATGTCCAGCTTGATTCTCGGTGTTGTAGATATTTCATTAAGATATCCTTCAGAAACCACCTTACCGACACTAAGAATAGTGTTCTGCCTAGTGGACACGAAGCTAAAAGACTGCCTAATCTCAATCGAAAAGGACCCAAAAGAATTCAATGTTTCTAGAAAAGAAATTAACATGCTGTATTCAACATGGCAACTTGAGCAAAGAAACTAGAGAAGTAGCCCCCTTTTCATGGCACCAGAGAAACACCACCTGAGAGGAACATACTCTAGAAGAGTTGTTAGGCACCAGATCATTAATGCATTCTTCAGTCCATTCAAGCAAATACAAAACAATGTCAAATTGAATCCATAAATCCAAACCAAAGCGAATGGCCACTACAGCGATCTTCCATACTCGAGAACAAACACTATACTTGAATCCATCATGCAGCCAAAAACATACTAAAATCAATGTTACCAACCTACAATCCCATAGGATCACTATTATCTTTGATAACTAATCAACACAATCTGGTACTCATGATGTAAGCATGCTGCATCCTATCAAAAACACAATATATATTTCAAACCGTCTATATTAATACATTAAAAATCATAGATCATGAAAAACTGAAAAACAGTAGGATGTTACCTCAAAGATCGTCTTATACTACGGTGAGGTTTCTCTTCATCCTTCGAGAAGTACCATTGAGCAATTGTGCCACTGATAACATAAACCTGAGCTTCCACCATTGTTGTCAAGGACCACAACATTGTCAATATCGCCAATGTAAAATAAGCCGGCACCCAGCTATCTTGTTTCCAAACACAAGTATACTCCCCATTCGATTCTTTAGCTACAATTTTCCCATTAAACGTTGAAAACACCAAGAACACAACAATTGGGGCATAATAAACTAACAATCCAGCGGTCAACAACGGTATCACCAAGAACAATCCTAAGTTCCTCGAAAGCGAATCGGAAGCAACCCCGATAATCCTCACGGTCAACTCGATTCGATGCCAATTAGCCACGACGATCCAAACAATAACCCCAACTCCAAGTAAAACAAAAACAAGCACCAAAATTCTATAGACCAAAGGGAAAGTGTCGCTACAAGAAGAGCTCAAGGTACAAGCAACGAACCAATAAACATCAAAGAAAATCGGCACGATTACAAAGAAAGGAAGCAAAACATAAACTATCTGCTTGGTGTAGTGTTTGAGTAACAAAAGCAAAAGGAAACAAATGGGTACACTTAGAACTAAAGTTATGACAAGGGTCCATGCTACATATGTCCAAAGACTCGAACTTGACAACGAAAAAACAGAACTTTCAAAAACCCATACTGATTTTGATGAAAAAGAAGTGCCCTGAACGCAAGAAGTGGAATTGGAATTGTAGGTGAAGGTCGAAACGTTGGAGTAGTTGTCGTTTCGATGGAAGATTGAGAAAATACCGAAAGCAAAAGTGCAGAGTATCGAGAGAAGGAAGAGGAAGAGAAAAGGGAGGTCTTTGAAAGGTCTGGGTCCGTAATTGAAAGAGATCTGGATGAACTGTGTTGGGTCGGATTCGGAAGGGTCGGGTTGAGGTGGTTCTTCGATTGGAGGAGATGGGTAGGTGGAGCTGGTGGTGGGTTTGAAGAGGAGAGGTTCGGTTGGTAAAGCGGCGTCGTATAGAGGGATGGGTTTGGCTGTGATTGTGGTTTCTTCTTCCGTGCTGCCCATTTGCAGCGGCGGACAAACAAAACGAGTCTTGAGAAAGGATTCTAATTTGATAGGAAGAATTTTTGGGCTTCCTCTCTATTTTTTTTTTCTATTAGGATTTTTGTTTGACTGTTTGTTCTGTGGAACCAAACTGGGAGTTGGAGAGCTGAAGAAGATGAGTTGGTTTGTCGTGGTAGGACCGGGAAGATTGATGTGCCACCTGGAACCGTTCATTTCTCCCAAAATAAATCGCAGAGAATTGAGATAATTCAATAACAAATATTCAACCAGTGTCCCCCCCCCCCGAATAAGGGGTGTTTTTTAATTAAATATAATTTAAATAATTTATATTCCAAATTATTTAAATTAAATTTTATTTGAATTATAATTTTAAGTTATTAAATAATTCTAATTCATATCGTTTGATAATATGCTTAAATCCTAAAAGGTTTTCTTTCGATTTCGTGACGTTGTCTCTCTTTTTTTTCTTCGTTTGACTAACAACAAGACTAATTTTGATATTGATTATTGATTAATGGTTTTCTTTACTTTTTACTTCACATTATTATATTTTTTTTTCTTTTCAGTAAATGTGTCATTATAACTTTTTTTATATGCTTTTAAGGTTCGTTTTTTTGTTTTTTAGTACGTTTTTTAATCTGTTTTAGCGATTATTTGATTGTTCTTTTCATTTTATTTTTGTAAGGTTAGATTTGACGTTAACTTGATTGATTAAGATGACACTTATTTGTTATCATGTTAATCTTATATGCTTTAAAACCTTGGATTGAATATACGAATTGGGTTAGGAGAGTTTTTTATTTGTTATTGTCGGTTGGCTTTCAATAATTTATTCTCATGTTATTATTTGTTTTTTGGTGCAATTAAATTTATTTGTATCAATCTTTTATACGAGTTTTTTGATAAATTTTTAATAGTTTTCTTATATAGTCCTTGTATGATCGCAAGTATCCGATTTCTTATATCAATAGTCATAGAAATATGTCATAATATATATATATATATATATTACGTTCATAGTTCTAAAATCTTTATTATAATTTTGAATATTTTATCTTTCTAATAAAATTAGCAGCCTCTATTTACATTAAAAAATAGATCATATCATATCATTTAATTTTTATTATTAACAAAATAAATCATTTATACTAACCCATTAAATAATAATATTATTATAGAAATTTCTTTCTTTCTTTAAAATAAAATAATTTAAAGTTATTATTTAATTTAAGATCCAAATACAATACTATGAATTCATAGATAAATCATGTACTACCCAATCTATACTCATTTGTTAAATCAATTATTTTTTCTACAGATATTCTTATTCATCATGTTATGAATGCTATAAAATTTAATAGTAAAATATATATTAATTTATATTATATGTAAATTTATTTTTTAAATTATTAAACTTAAAATCAAATAATAATACAGAACTTAATATCCAATAAATGTAAGACAATATCACTTTACATGTGAAAAAATATTGTCAACCTCTCATGAATTAACATTAATGATATTTAGTAACCAAAGTAAAACCAAAAGACTAATAGGAAAATGAGTCAAATTAATACCAAATCACATCAAAATTAATAATTAACGTATATGATATGATACCATTAATATATATTAAAGATTAAAATTGGGTGAAGACAAATGTTACATATGATATAGGTAGGACAGGAGCTCCCACTGTCCGATTGATGTGATACTCAATAAACGGGCTGAACTTATGTCTATTCTTAGCCCAAAGTGGCCAGACTCCTCTTAGTGTAAGAGTTTTCTTTTTTAAAATATATATTTATTTTCAACTCTTTTGAAGTCGTTAAAATCAACAAGAATATTTTTTACATTTTCAAAATATAAGATGAATCTAAAAGAATAAGAATAAATTAATCATACAAGTGATCAATACATGTTTTCTCTAAAATCGTCAAAATACACGAATTAACCATTTAAAAATGATAAAAAAAACCCATATAAATAAATAGTTAAACCAAGCAACAAATAAATAAATATATATACTAATATTGTCTTAGAATTTTATATATATTGGGTTTATTCCTTATATCAACCATTGATGATAGGCCATTATTTATTATTCATGTGATTTTGAATTATTCAATAATTAGTGGAATATTATAACACTTATCCCCTTACGAGATGATGTGTTTAGAGATTTACTTTTTCAAATTTTAATGTCTTTTATTTTGTTTTGTTTCAGGTAATAGTTTTTTATATTGGACAGAGAATCATATTTTTCATCACATTGTAGAAAGGCATCTCATTTAAAGATAATTCAATTAAGTGTGTAGGGACATATCCCTACAATAACTTTGACATCGATCCAGCAATGATGATATCACATCTCTATGCGTATAAATAGAGGTAATAGACCATGAGGAGTTTTGGTATTTCCTATTTATGATTCGAGCTTAATCGTAAATTAATCTCACTAGTTGACAACTCACATAGAGAAATCTCTCATAACTTACAGAGGTGTGTTACCTCGTAGGCAGTGTTTTGAAAATCGGACTGATTGGTTTAATCGGTTCAATCGAAATTGTTGTCTAATTCGGTTCAATCTACACCGGTTGAATCGTTATTAGTGAACCGGTCGAAACTGTTAAACCGTTCGAATCGGACCAACTAAAAACCGGAAAAAATCGCCAATTTTATTTTTTTGTATTTTTTAAAAAATTAAACCAAACGACGTCGTTTGTTAAACGAGCCAAGTCGAACTCGAGTATTGCTAAGCTCGACTCGAACTTGAAAACTTTAAAAGTAAGCTCAACTCGACTCAAACTCACGAGCTAAAAATAATCAAGTTCAACTCGAAATATAATATTGAAGCTTGAACTCAAAAAAAATTAGAAGCTCGATTGAAGCCTAAAATTCAAGTTTGATTGAAGTAATAGAATAGTTCACTCAATGCTTACCAAAAGTCTCTATGATTTTGAATGTCAAATTATCTCTATTATTTATAGAAGTTAGTTGGGATGCTCTTCTATGTTTATTAGCCATGTGGGATTGTTTTGTTATCATATTTTTACTCTTTAGACTTTTAAGATATTCTTCTATGTTTTTTAGACATGTGAGATTTTTTTTTAAAAAAAATTAAACCAAACAATATCATTTTGTTATGATTTTTTTAGTCCCAAATTTATTTTTTAATTATAGTTATATAATTATATTTATTATTTAATATGTTTTATCTTAAATATTATATTGTAGTTAATTTGAATCATTTTGTTTCACTTGATTTTATGGTTTTTAACTTATATATGTTAGGACTTGCTTTGAATATAACTTGTGATATAAAAAATTATTTTTTATTAAATATTTTTGGTATTTTTTTAATTTTTTAAATAATTATGGCGTTGTCCGATTATTTCGACCGATCAAATCGATTCGACCGGTTGAACTAGTGAACCGTAACATAGTCGATTCGTTAACCGGTCCGGTTCTGAAAATCATTCTAGTAGGTCTCATGCTGTATAGGTGGAGGAGTCTCATTCCGAGGCATTCACGAATATTCTTGGCGTCAATTTAGTGGTGGGGATCCACAAACATCTCTGTGGTTCAAAGATAGGTCTTCAAGTGAGGGGATCTATGACATTACGATCAACAATTATCTTTCTTGACTTGGGACGAAAAGCTGTTAATTTCAATACCGCAACTTTTAATGTTTTGATTTCAATTAATCTTCAGACTATATTGTCTTTAATAATTTATCTTAACGCTTAACTGTCTTATAAATTATAATTCTCTCTCATAACTAACGGAGAAAACCATAAACATCTTTCATAACTTATAGAGCTGTCTCTCGTAATTTACAGAAGAATTGGTTTTAAAAGTATTTTATGAATGACAAAGTTTTGTACATCTTTTAGACCGAATCGTATTATTGTTAAAATATCATCTTCGATGTATAATATTTTACATTCTAAAAAACGTATGCTTGGATATCAAACAACTTCTCATATTGAATAATGAATAAAGAACATCGAAAAAGGATCTTCTATAAGAATTTAGAAGAAAAATACTTTAATGCAAAGGAGATTTTTTCTAGATAGCGTGTGGAATTTTGGGATAAAGAGGGAAAATTTTTGAATAAATAGTTATGGATTGAATTGAGTTGAGTTAAAATTTTGAATTATTTAAATTGGTAAGTTCTATTTTATAATTTTAAGTTAACTTGTATTTTTTTTAGTCGAGTCGAATTTTTATTTAAATTTAATTATAAATCGTGTTTTGCCCACCAAATGTTTCGTTTGTCTGGAAATTATCTCTTTGAATAAAAGAGTTTTAGTATTTGTTTACGTCTAAATTATTAAATTAGTCATTATGTTTAATTGAATATCATATCAAATTAAATAGTAATACTTGAATTTAAAAAAAAATATCCTAAATATACTGATAAAACAACCCTTTAACAGTAAACTACAAAATTTTTAAACGATTTCCGTAAAAAATATTAAACGGAAAATCAATTAAAATAATTTATTTGAATGTGTAAATTAACTTTGACATCATTATTATATTTAGAAAAAACAATTTATTAATTTATATTTTCTTAATTATCCCTACTTATTAATTGTTTTATTATTTTAGAAATTTATGTTTTTAGAAACGTAATTAATATAATATATCTTTATTTCATATGACGTATTAATAAATAGAAATATTTTTATCAGTAATTTGAGACAGTGATATTGACTTATTAAATAATTGTGGAAAGGACATACCTAAAAGAAAAACATTAGAGGGTAAATGTTTTTATTAGAAAACGGCTTTGGATGCAACTTGCTTCCGCCCACAATATACATTACCCGCACTGCACGTGCTTCCAAAATTTGCCAGCCTGGTCAGATCTTCTTTTCTGTTGTGTTATATATAAAATTTACTAATTAATTATTGGCGAAGAATAAGAATGTTTATAGAGCGAGTTAAATTAATAAATTTAAAACTATATTAAACTAACATATTGAAATATATACGTAAAATCAATTAGTAATATATAAAATTTAATATAAACATAAATTAACAAATTTAGTTAAAATATTAAAAAAAATTGTGAAATAATTATTCTAAAATATAAACTCTAAATG